GTATGTTGTTTGTCGTATGTGGGTTTTATATTCTGTTATTCTTGTTTTATATTTTCATGAGTGTACAATGCAAGTGAAGGTTTGAAATGCAAACTTACTGATCAATGCGAAAAAATTAAATGTTATTAATACTTCATTTTTTCAGTTGGTTCTTTTGTGTCTCGTGTGGTCTTTGTATAAAAACATCTGTTGCAATTGACATAACATGAATTTTAACAATATACAGTTTGCTGTTTCAAAAGCAAAACCTAGAAGGAGTTTTTGTGATTCCATCTTCACGAACATCGTTTGGTAATTTTTTTTCAAGTTACAAAATTTTAAACTCAATTAATTTTCAATTCATTTAATTAAAATTTGAATAAAATGCTCTAAGTTGCAAGTTCTTATAATTTATTTTTCAAAACATATCATCAACCTTTGAATAAATGAAAATTTAGTTGAACATTGAAGTTTTAAAACCGTACAATTAACTATGACTATTCACTTAAGTTTGGAATGGTGTGATAACCATCAAGCACGGTTTATATGGTGGAGGAATCTTCAGATTCAAACTCCTCATACCAGATGAATTTCCTGATACATCTGACACCATTGTAGGTTTTAAAAGTTATACCAATACTTTTATTCTTTTTTTTTTTTTTAATTCCATTTATTCACAAAAAAGTGAAAAAGTCAGCCTAGCAATAAATGCTTATCTAGGGTTGACTCTCATAAAACAAGAAATAACATAGTAAATAATCAAAAAAAATAAAAAAAAAACACAATAACATAAATGAGTAAATAAATGTCTTTTAAATTCTTCAATGTTCTTAAATTTTCATGAATAAACTTAGAAATAAAACATCGATACATTTAAACTTAAAAAATGAATAAAATTAAGAATAAAATATTAATACATTTAACTTAAACAATTCAAAAATGTTCTTAACTTCTTTTTAAATTCTGTTAGATTATTAATTGATCTTAAATATTGTGGCAGATTATTCCATTTATAAGGTGCATAATAACAAAAGTTCCTGGATGTTATTTTATTTAAATTTATTAATGGCTTAATTATATTAGTATTGTTAGTTCTGTCAATCCTGTGGTTAGCTATAAATTTAATCGTATTAATTAACATTATATCAGTTGTAGATGTTATACTGTTGATAATTTTAAATGTTAATAAAGATGATTTATAGGAATTTATTTCAAAAATTGATAAAATATTATTATTATTAAATATATTGTAATCGGAGTGATTATAATCGATTTTAAATAGAAAATTAATTATCTTTGTTTGTGTGCTAAATAATTTGTTAAGTGTTGAAATGTTTAGATTACCCCATATTAGGTTACCATAGTAAAAATGACTAAAAATTAATGATTGGTAAAGTAGTTTTTTAGTTTTATTATTTAAAAAATTTTTAATTGTTATCATTATGCCAAAAATTATATTAATTTTTGTTAGAATTAGTTCGATGTGATCATTAAAGTTAAGTTTATTGTCTATGCATACACCCAGAAGTTTAAAGCTATCAACTTTTGTTATGCTCTGTTCATTATTTTCCTTGGTGTTCAATTTTAAAGTTATGTTATGCATCGGTGTATTTCTTTTATTTGGAACAATCATGAATTTTGTTTTTTTTAAGTTGACAGAGAGTTTATTTAATTTAGACCACTTTTCAATTTTAGAGAGAAATGTTTCAGTTTTGTGAATTAAATCAGGTATGTTATTTGAATTTGCGCACATAGTGCAGTCATCTGCATAGATGATTAGATCTATATCTGAGTTAAGATGTATATTGACAATGTCATTTATGTATATATTGAAAAGAAGTGGTCCGAGGACACTACCTTGTGGAACTCCGCTTAAAATTGGTAGTTTGTTAGAGTTTTTATTTTTTATTGTAACATATTGTAGACAGTTTTCTAGATATGTTTTTATGAGATTTAGTGGTAAGCTCCTAATTCCATAGTGCTCTAATTTATATAATAAAATGTCATGTTGGATTGAATCAAATGCTTTTGAGAAGTCTATAAATAATAATAAGTTGTGTAGGCCTTTACTAACATTTTGAATGACGTTGTTATGGAGTTTTAATAGGGCCATTTCTGTGTTCTCTCTTTTGATTTTGTGTTTGACTATGAATGTTTTGTTTTAATTATAATTTTTAATTGGTTGAAACATCTGGCAGTGTTGATGGCTCACTTTGGCTATGTTGAATGTTGAGTGTACTGAATTTAATGACACAACTAACCGGAGACTTCACATAACACTTTGTTGTACTGTTTTGAGGCTTATTCCTTCATTCTACTTTAGCAGTAGTCTTGCATTGAATTTGTTGAATTACAATAGGAATTTGAATGATAGTACTATTAAACTCAAGCATGAAAAATTTGTACGTCTGCAAATCACATGTGATTTTGATATTTGCAAGAGCACCACATGCTTATTACTCTATCAATATTCTTAGAATTAATTTATTTCCTATATGCACGTTATGCTAATTTTGGGACGTAATTTTCCAGGCAGTGGTATTCACTCCTGCCATCTACCATCCCAGCGTACAACCAGCAACTGGACAGCTCGACTGCAAACAGATGTTTGAACCATGGAAGTACTTACTCGTATCTTTCATTTGTTTATAAATAGTTTTATATTCATTCATTAGTTTCACCAAAAACCTCTAACTGGTTTCATAAACGTTAAATATTTTTGAAATTAAATCTAACAAAAACATTTGAAGGAAAAACGTCCACCACATCTGGCATATAATGGCCTACGTTAAGAGCATCTTCTCAAGCATTGATTGCTCCAATTGTTTGAATGAAAAAGCAGCTGAGAAGTATGTTTCTCAAGGACATTTCTCAATAATTTATGGATTATAAGACCACTTAAAATTGTATTTATATTTTTTTATGTCATTGATGTTTCTATTTGCTGTTATATTTGTTTGTTTTGTTTTTTGGGAATTTTGGGTTGAGCCCAGTTGAATTTTTAGAAATTGAGATATATAAATTTGGTTGATTGGTTGGTTGGTTGATTGATTGATTGAGTGATTCATTGATATTTTGTCACATTTCTTTTTATTTACAAGTGAATATTTGTTGTATGAGTTTCATTTGATGCCATCATATAATTTTTTTCAGAAAACTTGGTTTTTAATTTTATTTAAATGAACAAAGTATTTTTTTATTATAATTTTTTTAGTTACACAAATTCAACGGAGCAGTTCAAATTTGAGGTCAAGAAATCAATTGAGCAATCAAATTTACATTTGTTAAATGACACAGACCCCGACGACTCTTACGCTTTTCGGTTTGTTACCTTAAAAATCGCTTCAATTTCTATTTTTTGATAATACATTCAAGACAATCATAACATTTTCAATCATTTTCTGCTTTCAGCAGTCGGATTTACATTCAGCTGTCGGATTTAATATGAAAACTTATTTTCAGGTTTGCTGGATCAGATGATGATGGCTTAAAAGCAATTGAAAAGCTTATGCTCACAATGGAGGTAGCTAACATTTCTTGTATATCATTTAAAAAACTAGTTAAGATATAAAAAACTAGTTAGAATATTATATTCAAGTTAGCTTTGCAAATTTTACTTTTTACCAATTGCAGATGTTTTCTGATTCAACTCTACGATATAAAAGTGATTTACGGACACTGGGTTTATCGTGGTTGTCAGAAAAAATATGAAAAAAAAACGATTCGTTGTATATCAACTTGTTTTGAGTTTCTTCTTGTTTTTAATTTTTTATTTTTTTTTAAGTTTTTAAATTATTAAACACGAAACGATTCCTTTGATTCAATTCTGACAGTTTGTACGTTTTTAATTTGTAGCATCAAGTAATAGTAATGTCAGTCATCTGATCTTATCTCACATTTGTCAAACAATCATAAATTATAATAGTCAAATTAAATCAATTTATTATATTATTGAGTATAATAAATAATGACGTTATTCGTCATATATAGTTTATCACTGTAATACAACTGGCCCGATGAACACAAAGCTCCACGATTTACTTTAAATGACAAATATGTTATGATGGAAGGTCAATGACGTTGGTTACATCGATAATCTGCCATGGCAACCTGTAAATACAGACCTCAAATTCATTTCTTCCGCAGCATTAACATTGAATAGCTAAACAATAGGCCTCAAAATTAAAAATTTGCTCGAATGCTATTTGCAACTGAAATGAATAGCTTACAAAAATTCCATTTTATGTTCTTGCTGCTACTCATGAAACACGTTTCGTCAGCGTTTACTTCGTTTCATATTGATCGCATATACCAACTGGCGTTCCTGTCAGATGAAAATTATGTTTTTCGGTAAAATGAAATGCAATTATAGATTTACCCTGATAGGAGTTTGTCAACCTAAAACTAGACTTCGTGAATCAAACGCGTGAAGAAAAGCGTCGTTGTTTAGTATTTAAAAGTTGTCGTCCTTTAGTATTTATTCGAAACGCACCTGTCACCCGGGCAACACGGGGTGACCTGACGCTCGCATGACTTCGTCGTGTTGAAGTTACGGCCACATATCTTTATTATTAATTGTCTTTATTTGTTTTATAAATATATGCTCTCTAATAGGATGTGTTTCAAACAATTTATTTAATTAGAGTAAATTTAAATTTCTATAGAATTTCAAGCATGCGAAATAAATTTGCTCCTATTTTTTTAATTTTTGTTAATTGTTTTAATAATGCGGTTATTATTTTATGTTATTTGACTTGGAAAGATCTTGTACGTTTGTTTTTTTGTGGCTTCTGGAATAGCAAAGCCGTCAGACGACCATTTCGATATTGGAGCAAATATTCTCCATTCCTTAACTTAACATACGTCATTTCTCCTGTTGATACAGTTTCTTAACGCATATAATATATGTTCGAAGAACAATTAATTCCGGTCCATTAATAATAGAATCAGCTAGCAAAGATCAAATGTTATTCCATAAATAAATTGTTTGCATACGTTTCCATGGTTCCATTTATGGTTCTTGGCTCTTTGCCCAATTGTACGAGGTGTTATTGCTTTCATGGATTAATATATCATAACATAAAATAAGGAAAGTGTAGTACTTTATGTTCATAATGGTAATGGTTTAGTTATGAGAAAGTTTTTCTCGGCGTTGCTGTTGCTATAAGTCATCTGGCCTTACATGCCTTAAATGACATAAATATGTAGCTAGTATTTTTTCTGAAATTAGATTTTTGTATGATCATTTATGCTTGCAGTATTTCAACATGCAAAGTTTTAACAAAACTTTTATGTTGCATGTTACAGACTTTTATGTTGCAACTGTATCCAACAAAACTATAGAATTAAATTCGATGAGATTTTGTTGAGACTTTGTTCACATACCTGCATTTAAATGAACAAAATGAAGAAAATTATTAGATATTTTTTATTAGACAGTTGGAAGAACGTACCTGAAATGGTGATCACTGAGAAGTTCGGTTGAAGCAGCTATGTTGAATTTTGTAGTTACCACGAAGGCGTCGGCAGTGAATTTGGTAAGCTTATGACATCGTTTTCCAGTATCTTGCCACTTACACGTACTAATAACATTGCAAATGAACTCCAACTTTTTGAAACTTTCGCAATTAAACTTCCAGGGTTCTCGTTTGTCGTCTTTGAGTTTAATGTAACTGTATCTATCTTTGACGTTCATCATTTTGAACCAACTTGTTATTAACTTGACAAATTCTATTGTACCTCGTTGAAATTCTAAATTGTCTTTAACTGCTTCAAAGGCTGCTACAGTCTTATCATCAAACACCTTGCATACAAGTGGAACACTGTCTTTGCAGAACCTTAGGAAATACAGCGGTGTGTGTCAATTTTGTCATTCTTAACGGCGTCTTGCTGTCGATGTTATACAGATGGATAATATCTCTCCAGCAGGCTTTGTACTCTTTTCTACCCAATTGGAAAATAAGCTTCTGTTGCGACTTTGTTATCCAGTTGTTTCTGATATTTTTAAAAATTTGGATATAGTCATAAACCAGATACATATGCAATGTGTCGTCTGGCACTTGAACAATACCTGGGCCACCTAGGTTCTTGTACATCCGCTGATTTAATGGGCAGTTGTCACAGATTATTGATATAGGTCGACCCCCGCAGTGTGTGATTGTTGTAATAACTTCTAACAGGTACTCCTTCAATGAGTTTGCATCAAGTTTTGCAACCGAAATAATACGAATAGTAAATCGTGGTCCGCCATAATGACAAACCAGTTCAAACGCTAGTGCTGAAGTAGCTAACTTTTCTGGCTGATTGTCAGCATACCCAACAACAAGGCCAGCTGTGAAACGGAGGACACTCTTGAGTTTAACTTCGCCAAACAATATATTAACAAGACGCTGTTCAGGTTTAAGTTCTTTAAAAGCAGTTTGCAAGTTACTGCCGTTTACACTACGACTCATTAAGTCCCTGATCATTTGCTGTTTTGGCAATAACACAGTTCGTGACCCTCTCAGCATTCTGTATGCAGCAGGCGATACACACAGGAGTTCAACAGCAAATATAAGATTGTATTTAGTATATTTAAGGTTATTTAAAGGAATTAAGAGCATTTCCAACTGTGCCATCAAAAACTGGAAATGTGATGACGTACGCAAGTCCTCCATGCTGTTTAGTTCTTCAAGGGCTTTCGTAAGATGATCCAAATTATCGGCATTATGCTTATTTAACACGGTAAACATACCAGACAACTGAGACCATGTATTTAAGCGACTGTTCTTGTTTAATGTAGTGGTGCTTAGAAATTTCATATCCATCTTTTTCAACTCGAACAAGATACAGGAAACCAAATGGTAATTCTATTTTTCTGAACCACAAGAACTGATTAACTTTATTGGCTGTGTTATTTAACAGGCTCATATACACCTCATCTTTATTATTCTTAATAATATAGTGAAGGTAACGTTTTGGAAGCTGTTGAAGAAAATTATCAAAATTTAGAATGTTGTTTTCTTGCATTTGGCGTTTATTTTCTTGCTGCTGCCGTGCATCACTGGATGTCAATGAAGTCAAACGTTTTTTGGACGTTTTTTGGACGTCTTCCTCCTCTTGAAACAACCCACTTGCAGTTGAAATGTGAGGCACATACATATAAATCACGGCCTGTAAGGCTAGATCCCGCATTAGGCATTGCCTTAATAATCCACCTATCACGTTCAGCTTCTTCTGTTGGAAAGCGAACAACCTTAGTATATGGCTGTCCTCGGTAGTTCCCTCTACAGCCAAAAACAGCACATCGCTTAGGCATTTTGTTTTTAATAATAACAATTTTTCTAAAAGTTTATGATTTAGTTTATTAAAATTATTACCAGTTCGTGAAGTCTGAACTAAGTTAATATAAACAGTTTTAGACTCGATTATAAAAAAAAGTAAACAAAGTTTCCATAACGACGCAAATGAAATCATACCATAGAATTTTTAATAAATTCAAGACGTCAATATCAAACATAGACGTCTTAAATTATTTAAGACGTCTGGCTGCCGTCAGTCCTTTATTTAAGACGTCTATGGTACGTAGTGTAAGGCATACTCGCAGAATGGAGGCATTGTTGTATTCAGAAATACAACAATAAAGCATTGTGATCAGAATAATGCATGCAAAATAACAAAAATCTCTTACTAAAACTTCCATAATAACTGTTTCCACGTTTGTGATTCATGTGTTTAGTTGACACTAATGTTTATTATCACATTTTTTATCGTCAGTAACAAATCTTCCCTATTTCCAATGTTTGATACCTTATAAATATCTAAAAACCAACTGGATTTGATTTCTTTCGTTGAAATTTAAAATTTTCACTCTTTCAAAAAAAACAGATTGAACAATGCCTAGTGATTCATGTTTATGAATTGTTTGTTGATTTTCCACTTGGTAACTTTTACAGAGCCGAGCAGCAAACAAATGCGTCTCTAGTTCTCCATGGTTTCCTATCGATTGCCTACGTCAGGTTGGCGTGTGCCTGCCTGCCTGCCTGCCTATCGTAAACATCCCAACTTGCAGAATTGTAACGGATCTTGTGCAATTATACATCCAATTAAAGAATGCTTCAATTTGTAATAGCAACCGTAAATATTAGAACCTACTAAGTATGTTTTAGTCAAAAAATATCAGTTTGTCTTGTATGGAATTTTACAGAAACGTACTGAATAATATTGTGTTTTTAACGTTGCACGCTAAAATTCTGGCTCAATTTCTTTCCTAGAATGACATGCACGCAAGTTTGTATGAAATATTTATCATGAAATACAAATGCAACCCACACTGATAACTCGGGTGTGTGTAATGTGATTACGTATTCATTTCTCAATATATTCTCTATATTCTCTATATTTCTATATATATATATATATATATATGTGTGTGTGTGTGTGTGTGTGTGTGTGTGTGTGTGTGTGTGTGTGTGTGTGTGTGTGTGTGTGTGTGTGTGTGTGTGTGTGTGAAGATAAATTGAATGAAATATAATTCCTTGATCTGTTCATTATTCTTCTCTCACATTCTGGAAATGAAAGAAACACCACGTCACGTTAACAATAATTTATTAAAGTGTAACAAATGATGCTCATTTAGAATGAAATAATGTAAACTTGCAAATTTGCCATAGGAAACATAATATTTATTATCTTTTATTTGAAATTGAACTGGTAAGTTAACAACATCATCAAAATTTTACTTACCGTTATAAAGTATTTCTTTGTATGTAAAAAATTCCTTGTCTAGTATGAATGATTACAAATTATTTTTTAAGACATCGAAAAGAAGATGGGCCGTCGAAAATTTGAATTGGCAATGACCTTAGCGATGGCTATGTTGATTGTGATCAAAGGTTAGTAGTGTTTTGAAAAAAAATGTTGGTATCATTAACGTATAGCGGAGAAATGGTAGGCGGTGAAAATGTAATTTTAATAGATGTCTATTATTTGCGGTATATTTTTTCGCAATATTATATAGCTTACCAAGCAATTTAAAAAAAATTGGGCTTTTAAATCTTTGCGCTGTTTTTCCTTGATCTGATAAAAGTTGTTCGATCATTCACTCAACCAGATTATGTGAAATTTTAATGAAGATATCTTGCGATATCTTCTTATAGTATTTTTCTAATCATTATAATTAAAAATTTGTGGTTTAAAGTTGAGTTTTACAAAAAAATTGCTTCACCAGATATGTTCAATAATCAGTATACATTTTTAAAATCATATAAAAAATGAATTTGTATCTCGTTCAAATGATTTTTTCTGCGTATGGTTGAATATGGTTTTAGATTTTTAAACATTCATGAATAATCAAATTTGTATTTAAATATTTTTTATTGATGAACGAAAAATAATATCTGAAACATTTTTCTTGCGCAAACATGGATTTATTTAGAAAGTAGCGGATCAGACACGACAACAGTTGAAACAGTCACTGAAATAAGTTCAATATCAGACCAGCCGAAACTTACCTCTTATGTCACATATCATGACAGTACTAGCTCAATTAACGAAAAACAATTAGTAGCTTCACCAACAACAACTAATCCCTCATTGTTCAAAACGTCCCCAACAGTTCAAACCGAGAACTTAATGCATAACATTTCGCAAATAACATCTACAGCACTAAACAAGCTAGACATCACAACCACAACATACTTAACACATGAAATTACTACAAACAACATTGAGACAGTCAAATCAAACGCTATCGATTTTACAAAAAATTATGCTTCAAATAACACATCAACACATTTTAATTTTACAATTTTCACTTCATATGCTTCGAACGAACCAAGTGTGGAAGTGACAAACAATAATAAATCAACAGTCAACCAACCAAAAATAATTACCACTTCTATATTTCCTACAAAACAAATACAAACAACAAACAGCAACTCAGTAACAGAATTTCAACACTTGGCAACTAGTGTTTTAGAGAACACTTCGAATATATTAGAAACAAGCAAATTAGAAAACACAATGACAAAAAATTATAACACGACAAAGGTGAAGTCATCAAATTACGTAACCACTGCGCATGAATCGAAAACTGATGTTTTAATCTCAATGACAATAACAACAACAACTAATTCATTAACAAACACAATAGAAATAGAACATTTTTCTACCCATGAAACAACAAATTTGTTTCGTGAAAACAATCCGTCGAATGTTGACACATATTTAGAAAAAATAAGCATTACACATCTTGGTGCCAATACTACTAAAATTTCAACTTTTTCACCAGCTACCAAAACTATGACAGCTAGTCTTACAAACCGAGATTTTGAAACGAACATGCTAACGAATGTCAATTCAATAACATCATTATCTACCAACAACATTTTGCCCGCAAAAATAACAACTGTTCCAAATCTGAATCCCTCATATCTCATTACAACGCTTGAATCTAAAAATGATGTTTCAACGCCTGTCGAAACAAATGGCAAAACCACTGCGAACCCAAATACAAACACAATTGATATGAAACAATATTCTACAAGTAAAACAAATTTACTCACTACACATATAACGTCGACCGTTGCTTCATCTTTTGAAAATTTACACAGTACATCTCCAGCTCTCAACGACAATAAATTCACGTCAATCGATCATACATCTGTAAATTTGAACAATGTTGTTCTAACAACAGTTCCTCTAACAACAATAAGTGAAAATAGTATAAAAACATCCAAAACTGGTCTCACGAATGTCAATTCAGTAACATCGGTATCTACCAACAACATTTTGCCCGCAAAAATAACAACTGTTCCAAATCTGAATCCCTCATCTCACATTACAACGCTTGAATCTACAAATGATGTTTCAACGCCTGTCGAAACAAATGGCAAAACCACTGCGAACCCAAATACAAACACAATTGATATGAAACAATATTCTACAAGTAAAACAAATTTACTCAGTACACATATACCGTCGACCGTTGCTTCATCTTTTGAAAATTTACACAGTACATCTCCAGCTCTCAACGACAATAAATTCACGTCAATCGATCATACATCTGTAAATTTGAACAATGTTGTTCTAACAACAGTTCCTCTAACAACAATAAGTGAAAATAGTATAAAAACATCCAAAACTGACATTCTTACTACATCTGGCATAACTACCAGCAGCATTACGACGGAAAATCCATTTACAAATAGTCAAACATCTACCGTACACAAATATTTCACCCCAAGTACAAACGTACATACACTTGAAAATTTTCTTGTCACAACGACTTATCCATCTACAGTTCATGAACCAATAACTTCCCAATCGTTAAACAAAATTTCAACCATCGAACATACTACAACTAACTCTATACCAATAGGAACTGCGACCGTTGGTGCAACTAGTGGCAATTTTGAAACAACTGGTCTCACGAATATCAATCCAGTAACATCGGTATCTACCAACAACATTTTGCTCGCAAAAATAACAACTGTTCCAAATCTGAATCCCTCGACTCACGTAACAAATACATCAACTATGAGTTTAACGACGAACACAATTGATCTTAATCTTTCTTCTAAGCATGACATAGCAAACTTCTACACTACACATCATCCGTCGACTAATGACATTTTACTCACTACATTTGCAGTTGAAATACAATGATACTATCAT